ACCACGAAATTAACTATTTAATAAATGAATTTATTAAAGAATTAATTTCACGGTTTAATAAATGAGTGACATGATATTGATGAGAATATCAGCTGATAAATACCGAAAGGCATCCAAGTCAGACATCTGAATCCAATGATATTTGGACATGAAAAAACTTATCTAAGCAAGCAAAAAAAAATTGAAGATTCAATTTTTAACAATTTTTGATCAATAATTTGGCAAAAAAAAAACCAAAAACTAACTTAAAACACATTTGCATTTGATTTTTACCCCATAAGAAAACATGTGGAGAATCCCAATTCTTAATTTCACTTCAGCACTAAATAAAATACCTTATTATTGAAGAAACAATCATTTTAGCATATATTTGTGTGATCAATAATTTGGCTCTGTAGCTGTGTATCTGTTTGGCAAACCAAGTCTCAAACCGAAACATTCTACATAAAAACATTATTGATTTTACAACTACAGTACAAATTCATTAATCTGGACTCGTCGGGACTTCGGCGATTCTGGATTAGGGGTTTTTCCGGCTTATAGATCATCAATTTAAATCTGGTAAGATGGCATGCAGAAATTAAAAATATGAATCCGTAATTTAAGAAATAAAGAGCAATTATGAAATAAAGGGTATCAAAATTTACAAAAAAAAAAAAAAAAAAAAAAAAAAAAAAAAAAAAAAGCTTAATATTTATTTGTTTACTTTATTAAAAATTTCTTTCAATGTAAGTTGTTTAAGATGCTTCCACAAAAAGTTCCTTTTTCTTTTTTCTTGTGTCACCATATTCCTCACATAATTTTGAGACAGATATGCCTTTATCCATTTTTTGCAGCAATTCCACTTTTTGTTTGATTGACCTCGAAACATGTTTTCGCTTTGTTGATCCTTTGGCAGCTCCAGAATCGGAAACTCTTTTTGACATAATCGAAAGTTCAAGCTTACAAAAAATAATAAGCCGGATCCAATTAGAAGATTAAGAAACAGCGCAATCTGCAACATTAACTGAAATAGATAATTTTAGCCTAGCTTATACCGTCCGTTATACATTAAACACACATGCATAAATGCATTATACGTTTATGCATGCGCAGAAAGTTTGTAGCTTTGAGGTCCGGATTATGGACATCCAGATTAAAGACTTTGTACTGTACTAATATTTTATATCCCAGATGCCAACCTAGCGAATCATTATTATGCTTTGCTTTCATCACTGCATGTTTGTCAACACATGACAACTTGAGTAATGACTCATACAGCAATGCCTAAACAATTTTTTTTATATTGAATAACAAAAAGTATGGAAACCTTTTATGTTGACATTATGCTTGGTGATGATTATAGATTTAAATTAAATGCGCTAAATGTTGACGAGGAAAAATTTAACAAAAATTTCTTTCCATGTGTTAAAAATAGATTTGTTAAAGATATTCATAGGACAAAGGATTACATTTAGTGCTATCTGAATTAAGAATAATTGATTTTTTATTCACATAAACCTCGAACCAGTGCCAGAGCTTGTATGGTTGCACCAGAATTTTAAAAAGACAAAATTTTGAAATAAAAAGAATTTTAAAAAGACAAAAGTAAATAAATGATAAAATTTTTAGAATTTAGGGGGAAAAAAACAGTATTTTAGAATTTTTAGAATTAGACAGCAAAATATTTATCTTTCCTCAGTAAGCTTAAGTATATGTGGGTATTTATTTTATTCAGGACTCAGATAAGCCTTAAGCATATGTAAAAATTAGACGTAAATATAATAAATAACTAAATGAATACAATTCAGGCTTAATTGTCTCCGTGCACTATAGACAAAATTTAATGGAACATTTTGTCTTTCGCCACCAATCTCATGCTACATAGCCAGTAATGTAAAGTGGACACTGTTAAGCTAGGCTAAAATTATACTTTTCTGATTCCAAAGAATTTCAGTTAATATACCACAGTGTGCTGCTCCTTAACTTTCTGATTTGATCCAGCTTAGTACTTTTTGCAGGCTGTTATAATTACAGCAATTTTATAAAAACTAAAGTTTGAACTTTCAATTTTGTCGAAAAGAGTTTCTAATTATGTAGCCGCAACAGGATCTACAAAGCGAAAGCATGTTTTGATGTCTATTGCATAAAAAGTGGAATTGCTGCAAAAAATGGATACAGGTATATCCATCTCGAAATTATGCGAGGAGTATGGCATTGGAAAGTCATTTGTATATGATATAACAGAAAAAGGAACTTTATGAATTTTATGGATTCCAACACCCCACTCACAATGAATAACAGAAAATTTATTTGCTATGGTAAAAGTGATGATTGAATAGTCAGGCAGAGACACAGCGAGAGCGTGCCATTCACGGGTCCAATGCTAATGGCTCAAGCCAAAATATTTCATGAAGAAATAAAAAACTGAGTGCACATTGAAAGATTGCTTAACCAAATTTTCAAATTGCCATGGTATAATGCAATTAAAAATTTCAGGTGAAAAAGCTTCAGCTGATACTGAACGGCTGATATAATGAAGCTGCTGAACTATTTGCAGATAAATTCATCAAACTCATTACTAGTGAAACGTATCTCCAGGAAAAATTTATAATGCTGATGAAACTGGTCTTTTCTGGCAATATATACTGTGAAATACCTTAGCAGCCTCTAGAGAAAAGGTGTCCAATTGGTGTCAAAGATTCCAAAGCGAGACTAAAAATTTTAGCACATGTAAATTCTGCAGGAACACACAAGTATAAACTTTTCATAATCATAAAAAATACATGACCTCAAGCACATAAAAGAGTAAAGATTTTCCCGTTATATATCATGCAAATAAAAGAGCATGGATGACAAAAGCATTAATGTACGATTGCTTTGAAAATCATTTCATACCCAAGGCTCGGCAAAATTTGAATTTGGTTGGTTTACCTGATGACGCAAAAATTGTCCTGATTGTAGATAACTGTTCAGCTCATATTTCAGTTAAAGTTTTAATGAAAGATACTGTATCCATGTTATTCTTTCCTCCAAACTGTATGATCATCATTCAGCCTATAGATATCGGAATAGTGCATGCGCTGAAATGCAAATATAAAGTAGCATTTTTTAAATCCATGTTAAAGTTTTTAATAAGGGCAAGACTATTCAAGAATTTTTTTAAATATTTTAGCATAAAATCTGCTGTGTGGAACATTGCAAGATTGCAGAAGTATGTGCCTCCAGATACTTTAAAAAATGCTTGGCATAATTTATGGCCAACTACCATATTTCATATTTATGGCGAGGATAATGAAGATGATAGCCGCAAATTTGAAGGCTTTCGGATATCACAAGCCACAGGCGAGATTTTCCAATTAATGCGTTTTGTTAAGAAATGTGTAGAAGCAGTTATTAAATGAATATGATATAACAGAAGTTTTCCATTGCAATGACAATGCTCCAATCATCAATCAATTAACGGACAGAGAAATCTGCAGTATGGTTCTAGATCCAGAAAATACCACTAACGACAGTGAAGAAGGTGACAAAGAGGTTATTGAAAATGAAAATATTTCGATTGACAAGTTAGTCGGATTTCTCGACACAGCAACTATAGAATTTGAACAGTGGAACTTTGTAACTGAACAAGAAATTATGTCTGTTTGTAGAATTGAGAAAGTATTAGCACAAAAACGAAAGCAACTTAAACAATTTACATTCAAAGAAAAGTAAACAAATAAATATTAGCTCTTTTTTGTTGTTGTTGTAAATTTTGACACCCTTTAGATCATAAATCATGATTTCATATTTTTAATTTTATAATTTCTACATGCCATGTTACTAGATTTAAATTGATGATCTAATATCCGGAAAAATCATGAATCAGGAATTGTCGAAATCCCGATGATCCTGGATACAAAGAAACGCAGAAGAAATTCATCTTGCAAAGGAAAGCAAAAATGAAATCAATGATGAATTTCTATAGATTCTGAGGACTCTTGACTAGAAAGGAGACTTCGAAAAATTTGTATGGCATATTTTGTGACATAGAAAGAGATGTAAATAGTCTTCTGAAGCATAGAATGAATTAAGAAAAGTTTTTCCCTTACACTGAAATTTTTAATATTTAATCAAGTATGTAAAATTGTTTGAATAATTCATTTGTTTTAATTAGTTCAGTAGTACTTCTAACATGTCTTATTAAAATTCAATCATATATTGTTCATAAGAATTAAAATGGCAATTACAAACTTGATTCTCATGTCATGTTTGTAATTACTATTTTATACAAAATGGTGATTACAAAAAAGCAAAAACTGGTTATTATAAAATACAAAATACTTTATATTTTATATTAACCATTTTGTAACTGTCATTGATGTCTACTGTATATAAATGCTTTCATATAACTTAACAATGTTCAAAAAATGATTTTAGACAATTAAATTTCTTTAGATAAGTATTTTTTTTTTTTTTTTTTTTTTTTCAAATAAAAGTATGGAAGATTCTCACTGAGAAATTTTTAAAACAGGTTTATAAAATATGTGACTTTTTTCATTTAGAAGTAATTCACTAAGAATATTTCATATTAAATAAAATTTATTATATACAATATTAGAAATTACACATTTATACATATTTAGTAAAATTAAATACATTATGAGAATAAATAATGAATTATGTGACAGTATAGAAGATATGATTATAATATATGTTAAGTTTTTAGATATTCAGATATAAACAATAAACTCTGACACATGTTCAGCTAGTTTGGAAATAACTGAAATAAATTATTAACAATTTAAGCTTTCATTTTAAATGAAAGAAAATATTTATGTCATACAATTCAAAAACAGAATAACTTCAGGTGATTAAATAGTTTATAATATTTTGAATATATATCATTGTAAAACAGGAATAAATAAATTCACAGTTACATATATACCTTCATGTTTGTTTTTCACAATTATATAAAATTTAACCCTAGAAAATTCTAGAAAATTTTAACTATGCATCATTCTTACATGTATATGGCATAATTTTTCCATATAATTTTAATGATCATATGTAGTCTTCATACATTTTTTTATAATCAAGGAATGCTATATCAGTAAAACACTTTGAAGAGTACAAAATAAAACTGCATTTTCTGTGCAATAGTAGTAAATCATACAACAGTAATTTCAAGGTCTGAATACATGCAAAAGGTCATCAAGATTTATGTTCCACGATATGTTCCAACTGATCTAACATTTTCTTTATATGTTTTCTACATTAACGTTAAGGAATTTAATCCATACTCATATAAACAACATTAATAAATATTTATCTAACAAAAATTATTACCATCCAAGTAATACCATATGCTTTATCATGTGCAACACCAGCAGCCCATCATGACTTGAATTATACAGGTTTTTGGTAAGAGTTTAGAGAAAGACTATTGGGCAAGTTTAGAGGTTTGGACACATTAGTTGGGTTTCACCAATATATTTTTAATCCACTATAGCATAATTCTGTGTCTAATAGCAAAAAGTGCTGTCTAGCAGGAAGAGTCTGTTTCCAGTAGGAAAGCCATTAAGGGGTGTAACTGGCCAGAAATTATGCTTACATAATCTGCAACTGTCATGTTCTATAACAATCACTGATTGAATACCATGTACCCTAACATGATCATCAATATAATTAATCTGACAAGTCAACTCTTATCCACTGCTGCATGATCATGACGTTCATGAGCCCCATGTAATTGTAAATATTGCTGATGCTAGGCATATGAGAGAGGTATCTGCTGCAGAATCCATTTAACTGCATATGCATGTACACTTGCACTTGAACCTGCATTGTATTTAGCTATCAGCAGCTGCTTATTTGCCTTCATCAAGCAGGCAGTCTGGTGCATCTGTATTTGTTATGTCCTGGATAGTGAGGATGGTGAAACAGGATAGTGAAATCCTCACATGTACTGTTTCACTATTTTGTTTCCACTTTTCACAGATCCTAATAATAACAGCTCTTGTAAACAGCCAATGAGCAGTGTTAAAGATACTTGTTCCTAGTCCTTAAGCCATCACAATCTGAACTTTAATCAAAATTGCTTAAATCAGGAGCCTTCACATATACACATACTTGATTAAAGATATTTTAGTATCCCTGGTAGCCACTAAATAAAATTCCCACCTTGTCATATACCATCTACATAATTTCAGTAAGCATATTCTCACAGTGTAAGGATAGTCACAATATTTGGGTTCATCGGTATATTCCTGAAAATTTTATAAAAATTTTTTCAAATCATTTTTTAAAAATTTTTACAGCAAATTATTATAAAAAGAAAACAATAATCTATGGCTAGCCATTCTGAATTGCAAAATGAATGCTATCTATCATATATTATATAATATCAATATTTAGCACTTTTACCCCTCTGTGCAAATGTTTAATACATACAATATAGAGTATATACAGCTTTTAATTAAACATGTGCATTAATAAAATAAAAATAGGGTATTATATTACTGTAACTTCAGACAGGAAATAAGCTAAATTTCATTTCTGTATAGTTATTAGAAATAAATTAGATAAGTAGTGGGTTCAATAAAATATTTATCAACACAACTTTTCTTCCAGTAAAACCTTTGTATATAATATACTTTAATTCAAAATATAAGACTCCATGCTGAGATTAAGGCAGCGAAAAGTATAGTGAATCGAATAGTAAAGATTTTTTTTAAATTAGAAAATAAATTGGATGTTTTACTTCCACTTTAAAATGTAATTTTCTAAAATTTTTTATAATTTTTAATCTTTTCCATAGTGTACAAGATAACTTTCTTAATTTGTAATAGCAGTGAAACAAAGGTATTCAGATCATATTCAGATTGCTACTGAAACTTAAAAACATATATTTTATAGGAAATCGTCTTTCTCCCTACCGTGTTTTAAGAAATACCATTTTATAGTAAATCTGCAATTAAAAGGTTAAAATATATTTTATAGCTCAAGCTATATATTCATTTAGACATAATTATTTCCATTTATTCGATATATACAGCAGAGGCTTCATAGACTGTTTTATTAACATAGCAACAGATACATGGCAAGAAACAGACGATTAGCATGTAAGCAATTTATTGAATATCTGCACTTGTACACACAGTTCATGTTTCTTCAGCTACTGAAAAATTTATCGTTATTTCACTGCTACATATATGATATGCTTACTTTTTCAATCTTTTATCTTATAGGATCCATAAAATGGTGAACACAGGAAACAAAAAGAAACAAGGACAAATGTCCTGCGTACAAAAGACACAGGAATTGGCTTGCTATCATCTGAAGTCTGATTTAGCTTATGACCAGCACAGCTTATGTTGACATTATGTCAGCCATGGAAATGTGTTTGATGCATTATTAGCAGGAGTTGCTGAACTGTGGCCACTAGAAAGTGCCTGTTTAAAATTAATTTTGGATATCTTTCCATGCATTATTTTTAATAAATTCCTCACAAATTTGTGTTAAATGAAATAATAAATTCAAATTTAGATTAAATTATTTCTTTTTGTATATATTACTAATTAAACCGTGTATTGCAAAAGTTAAATGAATTGCTTGAGAGCATCGCTAACAGTCTGTTTCTCGCCATGTGACAATTCCTATTTCTCATTAAGGCCATTATAGCATAGCAGTATTTATTTTCGTCTTGCCTGCATCTGCTAACACTAAAAGTATAATCAGTATTTCTGGATATTAAAAAATTTATAGAATTTTAAATAAGGTATTAGAAAGTTGCACAATAAAACATTCTATAATCTTTAAAAAAGGATACATGTCACCTGATATCCGATAAAGTGGATTCATTGAATTGCTTAACTCTTCACATTTAGCCATCAACTGATATACTGCCTATAAACACATACATAAAATTATGCAAAAAAAATTGAGATGCATGACAAATTATGCACATTATATGACTAAAAATATCCAAATATCCCTTCATAACATTTGACTTAATTAACTATGTGATCACATATGCCTGAAACCAGTATTGAAGGAGGAAAAAATATTTTGCTGCTTGCAATTCTTCATCATGAGTCGCAGTAAAGAATTCAACAACTTCCTGTATGGTACCATGATATGATTCCAATTTTGCATCAAATTAGTTATATAAATTTTTGTTTCAACTGAGCCAGTCAACTGTAACTGATATTAATATAAAAAAGAAAAGCTTTGAAATAACAGCAGCTCAATTACACACTGATAGGCTGAAGTAACATATTTTATCAAAATAAAGTAACCTAAAATTTTTACATTTTCTCAGTAACTCCTATTTGGATTTTCTATACTTTCTAAAAACAAATTACCATATTTGCCAGCATATAAAACACACTTAATAGGTCTGAAAAACAGAGTGCATGTTATATGTCGATACTATGTCTTATACACCTATATTCAGTTTTTGATTACATTCATTTCTGGAAATTTACTGTATTCGGAATTATTTTTTTTTTTTTTTTTTTTTTTGTTTGTTTCCTTATGGAGTGTGGAGTATCCTTACAGTTATGTAGAGTTCAGTGAATGCACATGCGCTATCATCGACTATCACAGCTGTGTTTGTTTAAACTTTCCAATTTTTGTGAATGACTTTTAAGTGTGTGAAATTTCTACTGTTCAATTTTCTTAAATTTGTTGACAAGTTATAGCTCAAAAACAACTTGATGACACAAAAGGCTAAGTCGAAATTTTCATTCTAAACATTGCTGACACAAAAGGCTAAGTCGAAATTTTCATTCTAAACATTGCTGACACAAAAGGCTAAGTCGAAATTTTCTACTGTACCTAAAATATATCTTTCTACATGAAGAGCATTATATCTATATCTATGATTGATTCAAAGCAACGTTCAATATTTATTTGTTGACTATATACAGTTAATCAGTTAATAAATCTACATATGGAAAATTCTACAAATCAAAGGATATGGTTTAATATGTCATTCCCGTCTAGCATTCAATGTCTAATTAACTTTTACTTCAAGTGGAGGTGCTCCTATCACCGTATAACATCATATTTCTCTACATTTGCTATAATATAGCATACAAAGTACGTGTGATTGTGTATGCTAAAGAACATGGAAAGAGGCCTGCAAAGAAGCATTTCGGGCCACTCTCAACTGAGAAAATGATAAGAACTTGGTGGAATCAAGAAGATGATCTAAAAAAAGCAACCCATAGACTGGGTATTTGCTGAAAGTGTTACTTTGTATTTGTATTACTTTATATTTAAAATACTGCTAATATATTATAATGATCAGTAATAAAGTTTTATCCTTCAAAAATGTATTTAAAAAGGTGGGTGTGTCTTATACGCTGGCAAATGCGGTAATTCAATTCCAGCACTATTCATTGACAGTTGAAAAATATGAATTTTAATTATCATGAAGTTGCATAGAGGTCCACAATCAATTAATTACTTGCAGCTAAAATAATTAACTGCAAGAAATAGTATAATGTAATAACCACCATAACTGGAGTGTGTAAAAGTGAGCTTCTAAAAGCAGAAAATCATATTTTCGCAGTATGAATTTGATTTGAAGAGAATTTGGTTGTGAATTTGATTTAGCTGAATTCTTAGTGCCAAATGTGGAAAAGGTGATATTGTATGAGATTATTTTTCATAATTCAGGCTGGATCCGTAGTTTGTACATTGGATACCTTAATATTCTAGAGATTATCAAGAAAATTCTAACTCATTGTTTGTGACTAATTTCATTAATGCTATCAGGGAAGAATCAAATTTTAGAAGTAAATTCGAAAATCTTGTGAAAAATCCTTCTGAATACAAAGGCTGCTGCAGAAACAAATGCAGACTAATTTTATATTTATCTTTTTCATAAATAAAGTATGCTATGGCAATGGGATTCTTGACCAAGAATAAGCTATTCCTGGTCATATAATGCACAATGCATACTGAAGAGGGAGAAATAAAACGTAGAATAATCTGAAATACACACCTTTATATTAACATCAACAGCATCACAAGTTTTACACACTGAATTTTCATACGTTTCCATGCACTCAACTGTTAGAGATGAAATCTAAAATAACCAATAATACTTATCAACAATCATATTAACCATTTAAGTATAATAATTAAAAAAAAATGCAATACAACATATAATTAGACTCTTTTCACATATCAATTTTAAATTTTATAATTTTTTCATAATTTTTCATACATAGCATTTATTGAAACCATGATTATCTTTTCTACAAATATCACAAATAAACTTCTTATCAAAATAATCATTTAAAAGCTTTTGATGAAAAAGTTATTAAGAGAAAATACCTAAATTTCTCTCCCCCAATTTTTAATATTCTCAATTCCATTTAAAGATAAAATGTAATCTGGCAAATAAGCAAATTTTGGTGTGAATGCAAAGTACTAAAATACTGTTTTCTAAGAAATACTATTTATATTCTATATTTTTCTAAGAATATATTTTATTTTGAACAGCTGCTTTAAAACTCTAATAACTATTAAAATATCTGCCCTTGGGAAAAAAAAAAAAAAAAAAAGATAAAAACATTTTGAATAAGTTAAAATATAAGAGATGCAAGGCATGTATTTTTAGGACATAATACTACAGTTTAACTTATTAAAAAGAAATATTTAATCACTTCTACAATAAAATGCAAGGTATTTAAATAACTTTTCCCCATAAAATCCAGTGAAAAATGTGGTATTATCCTTATTTATTTATTGATGTGATATTTAATTACATTTTTTCTTTACATGTTGGCCTTAGTAAAAAAAATATCATTTCACTTTAAAATTTTATAAATGATTTAATTATTTTTTTTTAATTTGTATACTGAAATAGTAAGGAATATTTCACTGTTTTAAGTGTGTCTTAATTTATACAATATTTTGCTTAGTTTCTTTTCATCATTCAGTTGTTCCTAATTTGTTCTTTAACAAATAGCTCTTGGCAAACGAAGTTCCATCTTATGTCAAAGCAAAATGTCATTGCAAGCACATATACACAACTCATATACATATAACCAGGAAAGTTATCACATCATACAAATATGCATGTAATGAAAATATTTAAACTAATTAGCAATACAGTAAGATCATATTAATTAAATATAATATTATATAAAATAAGCATAAAACTCAATTTCTTCCATCTCAGTTTCTCCACCATGGAAGTAGCTTGATAATCCTGTTGAGAATTCACTGTACCAAAATCTTACTTTGATGCCATATGCAGTACATTAAATCTTGTATGGTAGATAGAAATACATAATTTCTGAAATTTCACATGAACTATGCAGTGTAGTGAGATTAAAGTTCAGCAGAATGAAACCAGATTCTATTTTGAATTTATCCACTTATATTTTAAACAAAATAATAAATATTGCATGCAATAGCAAAGATTGGTATGTTTTGTTACACAGTTTTCACAGTACATTTAATTTTGTTTTCTATGCTTTCTAAGATACTTTGCTATTTGTATCACAGATATAACCGAAATTCAGTCTCAGAATCTATCTAAATTCACAGATGTGAAAGCAGATCACATAGCAAATGCACAAAAAATGTATCTTATATGTATATACAGTGCCTTATAAAAGTGTTCGCACACTTTAAGAATTTTCAGAAAAAGTGGTTAACCACAAAAGTGATCATTCGAAGAAAATTTTTTGGAAATGCCATAAATAGAAATCTTAGTCTTTTCTTCTCAAAATCAATGGTAAATAAGCCCTAGAATCATGTTTTATTTGCACATGAAAGCAAATTTAACATTTTTTAATTCCAATGGGAGTATAATTTGATGGACGGGGAAAAATGAGGAGCTTAATCCCAAGACCTTGGTTGATACAGTAAAGCATGGTGGTGAAGGTGTTCTTGTGTGACAATGCATGTCAGCATCAGGATTAAACGATTTAGTATTTATTGATGGCATAATGAACCATGGTCTTCATTTAAATATTTTAAAAGATAATTTTAAATTATCTTTCCAAAATTTGGATACTGGAAACAATTTTTATCAGGATAACAATTCTAAGCACACAGCCTTCAACATTCAGCTTTTGGGTGTCTATAATTGTCCACAAGTTCTGAAAACACCACCTCGGCCACCAGATTCAAACCCAACAGAACACATCTGGAGAAAATTGGAGGTTAAGGTGTCAAGACACAACACTAAAACAAAAATCGAACTAAAAACAGTAATGATGGAAGAATGAAGAAACACTGAAGCAAATATTACGAAAAAAAACTGCTTAACTCTATCCCCAGATGTTTGAAAGCTGTCATAAATACTGAAATATATACAGTACAAAGTCTTTAACCCAGACTTGTCGGGACTTCGGCAATTCTGGATTAGGGGTTTTTCCAGATTATAGATCATCAATTTAAATCTGGCAATATGGCATGCAGAAATTATAAAATTAAAAATATGAAACCGTAATTTATGAAATAAAGAGCAATTATGACCTAAAGGGTATCAAAATTTACAAAAAAAAAAAAAAAAAAAAAAAAAAAGCTTAATATTTGTTTATTAAAGATTGCTTTCAATGCGAGTTGTTTAAGTTGTGTCATTTTATGTGCTAATACTTTCTCTTTAATTCTATAAACAGACATAATTTCTTGTTCAGTTACAAAGTTCCGCTGTTCAAGTCCTGTAATTGCTGTGCTGAGAATACCGACTAACTTCTCAATCCAAATTTTTTCGTTTTCACTAACCTCTCTGTCACTTTCTTCATGCCTTTATCCATTTTTTGCAGCAATTCCACTTTTTGTTTGATGGACATCGAAACATGCTTTCGCTTTGTAGATCCTTTGGCAGCTCCAGAATTGGAAACTCTTTTTGACATAATCGAAAGTTCAAGCTTAATTTTTATAAAATTGCTCTAACAGTCTGCAAAAAATAATAAGCTGGATCCAATTAGAAGAATAAGGAACAATGCAATCTGCAACATTAACTTAAATAGATAATTACATAATTTTAACCTAGCTTATACCGCCCGTTATACATTAAATGTGCATGCGTAAACGTATTAAACGCATATGCGTAAAGGTAAACACATATGCGTAAAGGTATATGCATGCGCAGAAAGTTTGTAGCTTTGGGGTCCGGATTATAGATCATTCCGGATTACGGACGTCCAGATTAAAGACTTTGTACTGTACTATAAAATACTAACTGACAGAAAAACTACAATATTTACTAATATGAGCAGATTTCTTTAAAGCATAAGAAGACTTTTGTGAGGTAACTTTTCTGTTACTTTTTTATTATTGATTTTCGAAAAAAAAATTAATATGTTCATAAAATAATTAATGTAGTTTTGTTAGGAGAAATTCATAGATATTATTAAAACATTTTCATTCTGAAATATTAATTTTGTTAATGAATAAAGGAATATTTCACTGAAACTCTTAAGTGTGCAAACACTTGCATGCCACTGTTATGTTACCCAAAAAAAAAATTATTGCCAGCACACAAATGAGGCTAATTAAACTATTTAGAAAATGAAAATATTTATCTAGAATATAACAGTTTATATGTATAAATGTAGTGCCGATCGCTTGGAGCTGTGATGAAAACCAGATGCCGTGACGTCATTCTCTCTACGAGCTCCAAAGGCGCCAAGCAAAAATTAGGGGAATTACCGTTTTGAGATGATAGACGATTGACGTGGGAGCAGAGACGCTGCTTCTGTTCAAAAAGAACTTTCGGCCATCCGAGGGTGGACTGGCCCTCCAGGACACTTAAATAAAATACAGATATAGTACCTATTTTTTCTGGCCTGCCTTTTCCACTGGGGGAAGAAACTTGCCAACCCTGATTGACAGGCAATATATAACTATCAATTAATATAAATAAAATTTTAATATAATCCTTCTGCTTCCAGTTTAACATTTGAGAAATGTCATAATTTTGTATTATGTTTTTTGTAGCATAAAGTATGCAAGTCTACAAGAATTTTATTTCCTTCAGTTCCCTTCAAGTCACTGGTTGTTTTCCTTCAGTATAGCCTAGCTGATCCAGTAGTTTACCTTAGCATTTCTTTTTTTTTACACCCAGATGCAGAGTCTTCACTGAATTCCTATATAATGGCAGTGATATGATCCTCATGGCGTAAAATTTCAAGTCGGGTTTTATGGAAATTAAAATATCCAATCTCAAAAACACAGTGAAGCATCTGTGATGATGAACATCCACAATAAGGCACTTCTAATGAGCAATTCTTAAGACTTAACATCCTTCCAAAACCAGCACTAGAAAAATTACACAAACTGCAAAACTTATTGGAGGTTTTTGAATGGCAGATGTGCACAGTGAATTATCACAACATTAGATTGATGATTCCCAATAACATTTTTCTGCATCAAAAGCATTGTTTACTTTTATTGGATTCTTTAGTTTTTACTGTTTTAATTTTTTTTAATATCAACCATAAAGTTTTGCATTTTAACCATTTCACTCTCTCCCTGCTATTTCATACTTTTAGCTTTGTCCACCCCACCCCCCAATTAGTTTAATAAGCCATCAGACATGAAATTGAACTAGTAAGTTATACCTCAAACATCTGACATTTTTTAGCTGTCTCCATTTTGTTAGAATATCATTCCCAAATTTATAAAGTCAAATGAAATCGTAAATCTTCTGTTTGAGCTTTCAAAATAAAGCAACACTTCTTTGTCATATTATAAGAAACATGAAAGGTTTTCCATAACTGAGCATGAATTATATAATTTTCATTTGAGAATTAATTCAATTCTACTTAATTTCTCTTCTATTGCTAAAACCAAAAACCACTTGTTAATGCCATGAAAAAGTTCTTGCTTCTAAATTCCAAAACCTCAGGCCCCACTTGTCTAGACCCACCCATTCTGTTCATTTTCTCATTGTTACTATCTCAAATGTTAATATTTCTGAGGATAATATAAAAATATTAAAATATAACTTCAACTTTTCCAAAACATCTAAACCTTCAGGTGTTTAAATCATTGCTCCGATTGAAAACGTTTTTAAATTTATTAAAATTTCAGGAGCACAGACACAATTTACCACTTAATTACTTATAGCACAATAAATTGTTCATTTCAAATTTTATCCAAAAAGGAAAAAAGGCTTAGTTATGGTTCATTCCTTCAGTTCAAAAGTACTTGCTGATTTTTTAGATGCACTTTTTTTAGGTCAAATTATTTGAAAAACTATCCTTTCAGCTCTGTATTTGCTACATAGATAACATTTAGGCTTTTTGGTGGTAATAAAAGAGATTTATCACAGATTTTATGCACTATGAATTCAACTGATCCAACTTGAATCTGGTAATTCCCTCCCCTTTCTCGATATTTTAATAATCTGCAATTCTGAATTCGATCTTAGCACCACTTTTTATCATGAACCCCTTTTCTGTCTGCTTAGTTCTCCATGCTAAATCATGTCATCCTGCTGGGCAAGAAATGGCTTCCTTTTACTCTTATATTTATATTCCGCTTTCAAAGTTTGTTCATCAGAATCTTTGCTTTTTAATAAACTCAACTATTTCAAGACAGCTGCCATTAATAGAGGATTTTCTCCCATGCTCATTGATACAGATTAAAATAAAATATCATGTTACCGTCGAAGTAGACATTTCACAATTAAGAAATAATATCACTAACATTTGTTATCATTTTATTCCGAACTAACTAATTTGTTATCATTTTATTCCTTCTAACAGTTACAATATTGTATGTATTCTCCAGGAGTTCAACTTTCATGTTTTTTCTCAGCTATTAGCAGATTTTGTCGTTCAGTTCTTAACAATTCCATCTCTATTCTTGGTGAATTTATAGCATGTATTGCCAGTGTGATAATTCTTGAGATATATCTGACAAACTAAAAGAATGTTAAAATTTTGTATCAAAGAGATGAAATAAACAAATCCTCATTAGTTAATCATAGTTGAAGAATAATCACAATTTTCACTTTTGAGTCTGCAAAAATTATCCATAAATTTTCTTTAGTTGGTGAATTAGATTTCTTTCAAACTTTTCACACTCACAAAAGTTTATCTTCTTTAATTAATACTAATTCCAATTTAGACCTTCTTGAAGTTTTTAATACCTTATTTTTTTCATTTTTCATAATTATTTTTCTCAACAGATGTCCTATATTCATGTTTGCTTTGCTGTGCCTCGTGTCCAAATTAAAAATTCAATTAAAATGGCCTTGTGTCCAATTTAAAAATGGCCGACTGCTCCTTTCTTTTTTTGCTACTGAAGAAAAACGAACTGTGTCTGAATGCCCTATAAAACCGAGAGTTTTATTTAAAATCATAACAAAATAAGGTTGCTGTTTTGCCTTATTTTAAGAATTCCTGCTTAATTTGACTGCAAACTAATAATGATTAAAACTATACTCAAATAGCCAAGAAGTTCACAGCTCTTATGCAAAGAACAAACAATAAAATGATAAGTGATGAGAACAAATAAATCAAAACATCATTTCTCTAACAAAGATAGAAAAGACCAAAAAAAAAAAAAAAAAAAAAGACAGAGAGGGAAAGAAATTTGAGCACAATTTTCTTTTGTTTGAATAATTTGGGTATTAGATCTTGAGCTAAATTAGGAGTGGATTTAAATATTTGAAGAAAAGTGTAGGCTAATTTGATATAGACTAAAACTATTTTCTACATTCACTGTCATCAATAAAACAGTAAAGTGTCATTAGAATAGTATTATTATAAAAGTGTTATTAGAAAATAAGTTTTTATTTTCTTACATATAAATTATTTTTAAAAAAAGACAAAATAATTCATTAAGGAAACAAAAACAATTTTAAAAGTATCAAAATTGGCCATTGCAACAGTATGCTTGTTTTTAAGTCAATTTATATAAACTAAAAAATGAGCAATACCATAAATTGAAATGATTAGAAGGTTTGGAAAGTTTTCACTCAAAAACTCACACTTTGCAATGTTCCACTAAGATTTTCCAGCATAGTATCAAGGCAAGTAGCAACTTTTTTAGCATGCATTTCCAAATCTGTTAAAATATTTGGGTCAATAACATGAACACTAGATTGCAAGACTTGTCTAGGAAGGCTGGGTGTGGATGATCGAGAACCAGGAAAAGATGAAGAATCTGTAGAAAGATAAAAGGCATCTTAAAAAATTTTGTTTAGCAAACTAAAGCTTTACAACTAGCTACCAATAAAAACTGTTATCATCCAAAGCATGATTTTGTTTCTTTTGTTAATTTTTATTAATAAACACTTAAAAAATACTAATTTAGAAGTCAAACAACACCTTAATTTTAAAAATACATCAGCTTATGTTTTTATAAGATAGGCAAGTTCCTTTCATAAAAACAGAGCAGATAAAAATTAGGAAGAAAAAAACATAAAACTGATTTGAAATACAAAAACTCAGAATAAATAAAATGCTGCTTCTAAATAAATCTTTATGGAGAAGCACAATGATTCACTATGTTGCATGTTACTACATTTGAAAAGCTATATTAAAGATGCATGTGGTAGGCAATGAATAACTTATTTTTACTGCCACTGTTTTACTTTCTGTCTTTTCATTTTTTCCCCTTTCTTCTATGGCAGAAATTATAATTGATGTAAAAATTTTTTTATACATAGCAAGCTTTGATGTTATTTAAAATTGCAATACATGGACAAAAAACAGCATTTTAAAACTATTTATCTGTATTTATAGACATCTTTAATTTTTTTTGTGTGTGTGTATGTGTGTGCATGTCATAATTTAATGCATAGGAGGAATCAGCTTGCAGTCTTCATGGCGAGGTTGAAAGTGTAGAGATAAAGATAACGAAACTGGATTTCTGCAAATCACCAATCTTTATTTTCGCACATATCAAATCATTTTTAGTAGATAAGATATTTCTAGACCATAAGCAATTACAATATTTTTGTACACATGTTTTATCATCTTAAAGTTAGAACAAAGGAGTGCACAGCAGCATAGAGATGTTTGCAAGGCAGAAGCTAGGGAAAGGAATGACGTAATTTCTTGTGAGCGGTATTTATACCGAAGTAAATGCAATTGTACAGAAAAGCTATAATTGGTTAGTTTTAGTTTGTTATATAACATGGAAGGATCTTGAATTTCGGAGAACAGATGAACGAAGACACTTATTTTACTTCATATTTTTCAGATACTATTTTACAGAAATCCAGCTGAGGAATAAATGTTCCATTGAGGTTAGTAGTACATAATTCAGTCCTGTCCAACTAAAATTAGTAGTCATTTTTTAATGCATAGATGAAAAAATCCGGTAGTTTCTGGCCTCTGAAGACACTTTATTGTGTAGTTGGAAGGATGAATGCATAAACCAAAAACTTCCAGATATGACCCTTTCAAAACATAATTTATTGCAGGATAATTTACATCAGATCATCTTTCTGTAGATAAGATATTTTTTCAATCATAGTTGAATACAATAATTTCCATGTACACGGGTTTTAACGTCATACGTTTCGTCAAACGTAATGTCAAATGTCATACATATGACGTTTTAAGTTATGACGTGCAAGTAAGCAGCAGCGCGGATGAGCAGCGTCTTTCCAGGAAGAAAGCATAAGCAAAAAAGACGTAGCACGCCGTCATCTTAGGCAAGTAAGCAGAAGCATGGATTAGAAGCATCTTGCCAAGAGGAAAGCATAAACGAAAAAGACGTAACAATTCAGAGGAAGAAGGGAGGAAGTCAAAAAGTTTCAGTTCTGAGTTAAAAAGTTTTGGTTTACAATTATTTGATTGGGCAAGAGGTATCCGCATTAAGTATTATGTAGGATCGCATAATTAATCTGAATAGCGCAGTTTAGACTTAAAGCGCCCTTTTTAAGATAGATAGAGAAAGTCCCAAATCAAATAAAAATAAAAGAGGTTAAAGCCAATTAAAATTAGAAGTTCGCTTTCATATTTTTTATCATTAACAGCCATCTTTGATGGTCTCTATGAGTTTCTCAGTGGTACAATTCAAGTCCTCTGGGGTTACAGTAGACTCGGTCTCTTTTGGGAGTTTTGCGACATCACTCAGGTGTTTAAGCAGGATAGGGTGACCAACATATTTTCTGTTGAATATGACTTTGGTAATACAGTAGAAATCTGCAATGCTTGGGACCAGAGCTTGTTCAGATTTCAAGACAGAAAAGATAAGTCATAATATTTAGACTAAGAGTGAAAAATGAATAAAGACATTAAGGATTTATATAATAAAGACATATGAACATATGAAAATAAGGGACATATATATATATCCCTTATTTATTTTATTATTTTTATTATATATTATATGCTTCAAACATTTTTCTGATAGAGGTTTGTTTTAAAACTTTAAGGTGCTCCAGGGTAATATTTAGACTAAGAGTGAAAAATGAATAAAGACATTAAGGATATATATAATAAAGACATATGAACATATGAAAATAAGGGACATTAAATAAAGCATATTTCATTTCTTATATGCTTCAAACATTTTTCTGATGTAGGTTTGTTTTAAAACTTTAAGGTGCTCCAGGGTGTTTTCCTCTGCAGCATCTTTATCTGATGAAAGGTTTTCTCCACAGGCTTTCAATAACATGTATGTGTCTCTGCTTAAATCTGTTCGGCCAACTGCTGCTGAAATAGCACATTTTCTCTATTTTTAAATCAGTGTCACTCTGTTTTTCTCTTTTCTCTGAGAAGCAGTTCTAAAACTGGTACCCTATCACTCTACCACTGCTAGAACCACTCATACAAGACAGCATACAGGTTTGGTGATTTCCTCTTGTGCAAAAATTCTCGGTTTTGGATTCCAGTGTTATCACTGTTGCTGTAAAATTTCAAAAGCCTTTTTATTTATTGTTCTGTACATCGTATATGGTCATATCACAGTTCTCTATGATTCTGCTATAAATTAAAAAGTAGCACCGCCCTCCATCTTTTGCAAAATTTCCACTTTCTACGTTACTGTCAATGCAACGTGCTTACATTTTTCAACCTCAGAAGCAGTAAAATCATGAATGTGTTTCTAATCTGTCTTTGTATTAAGAAGCGCTGAAATTAAAAATATTTTTAATTTTATCTACACAAAATCCAGATAAAGCAACAGAAAGACAGCACTAAAGTCTCATGAAATAACAATGTTCAGGAAATACAACCACGTGAGACATGAACTTGAAAGAGAAGCTGAGTGAAGTCATTTGTTTCTTTACCTCGAGACAGATTGAAGGTGGAAAAATACTTTTACAATGATGTCAATGATTTGGTAAGTATTTCTGTTATGACATCATTATTTGGTAAGTACTTCTCTTTCTTCAGTGTTTCATTCTCCATGCTGTTGTTTCCTGAACCTATAAACTGAATGTTTACATTTTGAGAGGTAGAGCAGATTTCAGGAGTTGGTGGAATTTTGGCATTTGACTGTAATATCATAGCTTTGCCTACATTGAATAGGGAATGTAGTATTGATCACTCAAAAGGTGTTTCACTATTCTCAAGGTTTCCCATTCCACTATCTAGTCTTGGACTATATTAGCTAGGTCTTGAGAGGCTACTAGGACATCAAGCCATCCTCATCAAACTCATACAGTCATAAATGTAAGAAGGGGATCTTGGGAGTTTAGAATGGTGACTGCTCTTAAGTATACCAGTTGAAGAAGTTCTGACCCTCTTAATTCTTCTATGGAGCTTCCCTATTGTGGGCTTTTGGAAACTGCATCTCCTCCCAAGATAATAATGAGTCCTTAAGAAATTTTTTGGGCACTAAGCTCTGTAAGAGATTCTGTTAAGTTTTCCTTGAGGGAGATGTAGAATTAAGGATCTCTATGTGCTTCTTTTATGTCTTTCAATTTAATCGTAACTGAAAAATATGTGCTATGGAGTAGGAAAGGTTTACAACAGCCAATGTAAACAATTATTGCCTTGGGTAATCTGGAGATTGATATGAATGAAAGGGCTTTGATAAGCCAGTAAGTTTACCATTACTGTACTGCAGTACTTAGAAAAAGGCCCAAGGTAATACCTTTACTCACCATGTACTCTATTGCTAACTGTGTTGCTGCTCTACAGTGATGCAAGTTTGATTGTAGATCCTTTATTCTAAATGGACATATAATACTGTCTTGTTGTCTTTGGAGGTCGTGACTTTCTGACTTGAGTGCTCAGATTGGACATTTTTCCTCGTAAGCACCATGCATAGCATTTCGTTTCTGTTGGTACCTTGGTTTCTATTGCTCTCACAGTTTATATAATGTTTTATATGCAGACTGTCATCTCAATATTATGTGTTCCTCCCCAGATGGGGCAGGCTGTTGTATTTTTGCAATTACTACTCATGTGACCAAGACCTTGACAATTGAAGCAGCTGGAAATCCTATGAAAAAATCTAACTGGGCAAAAATGAAGTCCTACGAGAATTCTTGAAGGGAGAGCAGATACACGTTATAATATCTACTAGCCACCTGTTCGATGCTTCTGACTGCCTTTGTGGAGTTTTTCTGACTGCCTTAGGGATACAGTCAAATACCGAAAATCCCCCAACTTGAAATCCGCCAACACCTGAAATTCGCGTTGCCTCTCAAAATAAAAACATTCAGTTTATAGATTCCGGAAACCGCAACAATGAGTACGAAACATTGAAGAAAAAATACTTACCGAATAATAATGAGTCATAACGAAAATACCAAATTACTGACCATCATCTTCAGTAATTTGTTTTTAATTCAGTTTTTTCTCCTCTAATCTGCATCGAGGTAAGAAAGCAGACGATTCACTCAACTCTTCTTTCATGTTCACGTTGTTGTATTTTCTAAGCTTTGTTATTTCACGACATTATTTAGTGCTGCCTTTTTTTAATCCGGATATTTTGTGGATAAATTAAGAATATTTTTAATTTCAGACCTTTTTAATACAATTACAGATGAGACGCACTCATGATTTTACTGCTTGCAACGTTGAAAAACATAAACATGTTGCATTGACAGTAATGCAAAAAGTGCATATTCTGCAAAAGATGGAGATAGGTGCATTTTATAGCAAAATCGTATGGAATTGCAATACGATTGTATATGATATACGGAAAAATACAGAAAAGCTGTTGAAATTTTACAGCAACAGTGATTCTAACACCGGAAT